CCGTTCCTTTGTGGTCAGCCCCTCCCCCCACCCCTGTACCCACTGACCTGTGCTTTGTCCCCATGACCTTGGTATTTTTTAGTGACAAGTTCGTAAGGGGCCGGAGCCATGGCTGGGCTGAGGCACGGCCGACCCAGCTGCATCAGGGCAGCGTTCAGTGCGATCCGCACCAGGACCCGCTTCCAGAAGAGGCAGGCGGGTGCACTCCATGGCTTCCAGGTGCTCTCCTGCGCATAGCTCTCTCCCTCTTAAGGGGGGTTGGGGGAGACCCTGTGTGCCCGAGACCAGAAACCCCTGCCCTGGGCTGGGACCTTCTTGGTGATCGTGGTTCCTGGTATCATCCTTACAGGTCTTTCTCTCTCCCCCCAAATTAGAGGTGTTCAAATTCCTGTCCTTCGGGAGTCTTTCTTTTGATTAAGAAGAAACAGAAGAGTTGCTTTTCCCGCAGCCTGGGTTTAGTGGGGAGGGTTCTAGAATATCCGATGCCAGCCCTGGGTCCTCCCGAGGGACCCTGAGCAAGGCCCGGCCACATTCTGGGCCTGCTTCTGCCTCAGGAAAGGAAGGGGTTGGGGTGGATGGTCCAGTGTCCTCCATGATCGTCCAGCTTTGGGTCCAGAAGGAGTGCCAGGGTGGTGTGCAGGATCGTTGGGGCATTTTGGCTTCTTCCCAATGTGATGGGGCTGACCCAGCTGCCGAGCCTGTCTCCTCGTCGCATTCCTGGTTCTCCTTTCCCTGTTTGCAGCCGCCCAGGTTTGCATTTTAGTCCCTCAAACCAAACCTCTAAGGGGTCCTCTGTCTCTGCTCAGGCTCCTGGGAGAAGCTTCTCCTTGTCGCCCACCCCGCCAGGGCCACTGTCCTTTGAGTGTCCGGTGTGGCGGAGACCGCTGGCATGGGCAGTGGGCACCCTTGCTGTCTTGCTTTTGAACACTAAACTGCTGTCTTCCTCAATAAAAAGGATTATTCAAGTCTTTTTCCCTCAGGTCTATCACAAAAAGAACCACATGGACTTCGTTGAAGGGATCTGGAGAGAGGTAAGTTACAGAATGAGCCAGGAGCCACTCTTATGTAGGAAACGGTGGGAACCCTCCCAAAACCCAAGTCCCCTGGGGCCAGCCAAGGGCCAGTCTTGTCAGCAGAGCTTTCTAAGGAGAACTGTTTCGGGCCTGATGTGTGGACTCTTCTCTGCACAGTAGTGTTACCGTATTTTGGGGAAAACTTCACTTTGATATTTAAATTGTTTTTCCTCTTTCAAATTAAAAAAAAAAAAAAGACTGAAAGTAGTTTGCCTGGAGGATTGACAAGACCATCGGTTTGCAATTAGTCAATTTCAAAATTCATCTTAATCAAAACTGAAATCAATCTCAGTAATCAGTTGAGGTGTGGTTACTACCTGGTCTCGTGGTGTTTTAAGACACCAGGTGGCCTTGAAGAGCAGGTGTGCGTGCTGGTAAGTCACTCTGACTCAAACCCGGTGAATAATGTCCCAGCCTGGTACCTCTTCGTTTGTAAGAACTGACCCTGCTGGTTTATTTGCAGTGTGAAACGGTTACCCACCCCACCCCACTCGCACCCCCAGTCTGGGCCTTGGTCAGGGAGCAGGACAGGGCCGAGTTGGTCCTTCACCAGGGACAGGACGCCTTGACGCGGACATTGGGAGGAAATGGGCTCAGAGCCCCTGTGGTGGGCCGGGTGGTGTGGGTTGAGCCGGCTGGGTCTGCGCCCAGTGCTGGGATGGGGCCCTTAAATGACAGGGTCCGGGCTGGGCCCCCCAGCGCTGCTGGACCCTCAAGCGTTTTGGGCGCCGTGGGCTATTTGTCAAATGCATTTTTAAAGATTTATTTGCAAGGCAGATGGTGCAAAATTTGCCCACATCAGTGATGAGAGAAATAACCTGTGCAGATAGGGGGTGCGTTGTGCTGGACCCCACTGCTGGGAATTTTTAACCGGCTCCAACAATTCTGTCACCAGTTTTTAGATCCTTACGGTGATTGGGAAGATACCCCTGGCCGTTCTGCCCACAGCGTCACCAACTCTTCTCTGGGTCATGTGACCGGTAACTTGCCTTTGCACATGCCGAGGTCCCGGAGTCCAGTTCACTCATTTGACCCGCTCTCACGAGCCCGAGCCCTCGTCAGGAAAGCTGCCGGCAGGGCCCCCTCCTCCCTGGAGGCCACCGATGTGGACATGCAGCCCGTGGACATGCAGCCCGCAGGGGCCGGCAGCCCTAAGGCAGGGGCCGGCAGCCCTAAGGCACGCGCGTCCGCAGCCCGGCTGTCTGGGTCTCCAGAAGGCCTGAGAATGATGGAGGAGGACCGGGGAGCACCCCTCCCTGCCATGGAGCCCCCCGAGACTGGCAGACGCACACAGGGCAGAGCCAGAGCGTCACGGCCACCACCCAGACTTGGGAGTGAGAGGGACAAGGGGCCCAAGCTCTCACTGTCTAAGAGGAAACTGGAACTTTTACTCGCAGAGCCTGAAAAGAATAAGAGAAAGAGGCAGCGTGCGGCTTAGACCCAGGTGAGTGGTTAGGACAGGATGCCGACAGCAGAGAGGAACGGGGAGATGGACGTGGAAAACAGTGCTGTCCCCTCCCCACTCGTCACGCTGCTGACGAAGCAGGGATTTTCTGAGCAGTTGGTTTTGGCTCGGTCTGTGGGCAGGATCGTGGTCTTGACGTGGTAATATCTAAAAAATGGGTGTCATGGGTGGCTTTTGTGCTTTTCCCAATTTCAGAGTTTTTCACTTCCCAACAGGTATGAACCGAGCGACATTCTGGAGTTGGTGTTAGCGCTGGGCGGCTGGGCCCCCCTCCTCTGTGGCCGCTGTCCCAGTGCCAATAAAAGGGGCTGCACCCAATGACCGTAGCCACTCGTCCCTCCTGGTGGGTGGGGGTGGCGGTGACATGGCTGGTGGAGCTGGCCCCTTGGGCGACTGCTCGTCCCTTCTGCCAGCTCTGCCGGTGAGGACAAGCAGGGCTGTGGCCACTGTCCAGCCTGACCCTCCAACTGCAGGGCAAGTGGGGGTCCCAGAGGTGGGGGTCCCCCTCAGGCCCATGGACTGAGCTGTGGGTGGGGTGGGGTGCGGCTCAAGGAGGCCCAGACCTGGGCGTTGCCCCCCGGGGCGTTAGGTAGGCCTTGGGCATTCCTTGTGGGGTCCACATGGCAGCGCTGGATGGGGTAACCCCAATCCTGGACCTGCGGTGATCTGCCCCAGTCCCCCAGTGGCCGAGTGTCTCGGTGGTGGCCGGGGGGCCGGGAGCAGGGCTGCTTCTGCTCGTCGCCCTTGGGGCTGGGAGCTGCCCTGTCTTCCCTCTGACTTTGTGCTCCGGCACCCTTGCCCATGGTGGCCTTTCTGTGGGCTCTTTGTCATCGCCAGGGCCCGGTCCCAGCTCTTCTCAGGTGAGACTGCATGCCCACTGTAGAAATGCTAAGAATCCTTATTTATTGCTTCAGAGAAAAACATTTAAAATGAGCCCCAATGTTCAATGGAATGCAGCTTTGGACTGCAACCAAGCCACCGAGGGACCCCTGGTGGAACATTCCAGAAGTGGGTGAGGAGCGGGCTGAGTCTAGCTCAGGCCTGGGGACGTTTGGAGCCTGGCATCTCACAGAATCCCTCGGGGGCTGGGGAGCAGAGCTTGACCGTCCAGCCAGGACTCAGAACATCACTTGGCTGGTGGCCAAACACGGGTCACACAGGGCGGGTGGGGCACGGCTGGCCCAGCAGCAGCATGGACAGGTTTCAGCACGGGGCCTGAGGCCTGAGCTGGTCACCGGTCAACCGTTGGAGCTCTCACAGGCCCCGAACAGCCAAGGCCTGTTTTCCCAGGGACCCCACGCCCCTCAGGTTCTACAGGAACTACTGGTCTCTACTTGGCGCCACCCCAGGCTCGGCAGGAATGAAGGTACCAGGGCGACGGGATGGGCGGCAGAGCCGGACCAGGGCGTCAGCACATCTGGGACACAGGAACAGCGCCAGGTCCCACCACGAGGGCTGCAGGCCGGGGCGCACATGCTACAGGGTCGACTTGACCCAGGACGGGCCAGGCCCTTTTCTGGCCGTTCCCATGTCCCTGAGGGGGCCCAGGTTCTTCCTTCTTCGCCAGTGGCGAGCTCGCAGGACCAGTGCGGAGACAAAAGGCGGGAGCCGGGTCATGCTTAGTGTTTTATTTCATAAAACAAGCCATGCTATCGCCCTTCCAAACACGTGCGCGGTCCCTCCACGTTCCGCCAGTCCCAGCTGTCAGGCCTCCTTCACGTTCCTCCAACCTCGAACCAACGACTTTCCTTCGACAAGTCCAGAGCTTCCAAACGTTTTAATAATGAATAAATGTTAAATATTGCATATTATCATTACAGAAAGGGGGAGCTAGAAAAGTTTAGTTTCACTCTGTGCAGAGGACTGCGACGCCACGCTCGTAGAAGCTGCGAGGGTCTTCCTTGGTGGCGATTTCAAAGTCCACCGTGAAGATGAGGTCTGCACGGGTGAAGTTCAGGTAGACGGGTAAGGTCACCTAGGAGGAAAGGCAGAGGCTGATGGCTGATCAGGGACGTGAGCCACCCGCCTGACTGAGAGGGGCGGAGGGGTACAGGGCTTTGTGGCAGAGGGCAACGCGCTTTCTCCCAAGAGATGCCCGTTTATAGTTACGGGCGGAACTTGGGGGTAGGAAGGAGAGATGACTGAGGCGGTGCCCACAGCGTCTCCCTGCCCACAGGACAGGGGTGCCCCTTACCACACTGGCCTTTTTCTCGGCGTTTGTCTGCTTGACCCAGCGCAGCTGCGTCAGTGGGAGGACGGTGGAGATGGCATTGGAGAGGGAGAGCTTGTTGTTGCTGCACGTGGCCCCCTGCAGCTTCAGCCCTGGGGGGAGGAAGTCACACCATCGGAGTAGGAACAGCCCCGCGAACCCGCCGGCCTCGGGGCTCAGCTCTGCTCCCGCCATCCATGCCCCTTAAACACCTCCAGGTGGGCGCCCTGTCCAAGGACTGGCAGGGTAACCTGAGCGGGGGTGCCGGCCGGGTGCAGGCGGGGCCGTGGGACAGAAGCGGACAGTGGGCCTGGATCTGCACAGTCCAACTCACCAGTGACTCCAAAGCTGCAGGCGTCGAGGATGGCACTCTGCGAGGTGGTGACATTGACCTCCAGGCACAGCTCCTCCAGGGACCAGCTGTTGGCCTGGGCCACATACTGCCGGGTGGCGGTGATGTACGCCTCGGGCACAAACAGGCCGCCCAGACACACGTGGATGTTCTGTGGGAAGAAGCAGCCAGTCAGGGGCGAGCCCCACCTGCTCTCCCAGGTCAGACCCGGGCCTCTGCCTGGCGCCCCAGCTGCTGCCCCCAAACCCAGGGCAGCTGCCAACCGCCACCGGGCTTCTCAGGCACTGCTGCCACCACCTTTAGCTCTTTGGCGCCGCCCGACGCAGCCGCCTGTGAGATGTTCTGCAGCTGTTTGATCCTCTCGCTGAAGTCAGACACCCACTGGATGACGGTCATGCCGGCAGGCACCGTGTAGTGTGACCAGCTCCGAGGCAGGATCCCTGTGGGCGGGAAGGAGGTCCCGGCCGGCGTCAGAGACAGCCCCCGGCGCAGGCTGGCCGACCCCTCTCACGTCTGCTCCACACTCAGTCCAGTGTGGCTGACCATACTCGCCCCAGTGCCACCACAGCTACCCACTCCCATCACACGGCTCTGCCCTGCCCCGCCCCTAAAAACTGCAGCAGTTGCATAAAGATTTTAGTAAAAGGAAAAGCAGCTCTTCCGGCATTTCTGAGCCTGCGCCCCAGGGAGGGCCCCGGCTGCCGCTGGAGGGACGACTGCAGCGGGACCGTGCGGCCTGGGGCATGTCAGCGCTGAGGACCCGCATGCACACCCGGCACGCAGCCTCACCGCGTACCTTTCACCAGCTCGTTTATGAGCGTGCGCAGGTAGTTGGTCTGCTTCTTCTTCCCTTCACACACTTGCACGACGTCAGCCAGGTCCTGGCGGACGTCCTGCAGTAATTTCGCTCCCATCTTCACTTCTCTCTCGAAGAACCTGAACAGAGGGTCCTGTTGTGCGGACAGAAGCCCGTGGAGGGGACAGTTTAGAAGAGGCCCTGCTGCAGCCAGTCAGAGTCACCCGACCTCCAGGAGCCCCAGGGGTCCCAGCCCATCCGGGTTCCCACAGCTGCACCTGAGCCCGGCCCGGGACCAGACCTCGCAGGAAGCTGGCCGGCAGCATCCGCAATAACTGCAGGGTCTGGAAAGCCACTGAGCCGGCCCGCGGAAGAAGGACCACCTTGTAGGGCGGCGTTTCTGGTCACTTTGATGAGGGCCAGCCCTCTGCCTGGGCTCAGGGGAGCCCCTGCGCTGGGACTCTGCACAGCTCACCCACCCGTCCATATTGCTAAGATCATCTAGGGCCCATGGACACTGGGGTAGCCCAGCCACCTTGATGTTGTCCACCGTCCGTTTGAGATGGCTCAGCGCCTGGGGGATGAGGTGCAGCCAGTTGGAGGCGGTGGTGTGCAACGTCCTCATCCAGGCGGGCCGCCCGTCCGACGTGGAGTCCACCCGCGCCTTCTTCTCGGTCTCCGCGTACGCCAAGTCGTCCTCGTCCTCCAGCACCTGCATCTTCAGCATCTTGCTGATCACGTCCACGCCTGGGCCGCAGTTGCACCAGCAGTCAGTGGGGGAGGGGAGGGATGGGCAGGAGACCAAAGGAAGACTTAAGTGGAAAGGCCACAGCACGCACGGACCCACAATGTACCAAGTGGACAGAGGACACGGCCTGGCCAGACAGGCAGCAGTTAGAGAACAAGTGCCACCAGACCAAGTCCCGACTGTGGGGCCTGGACCAGCAGCCTGAGATGCACAGACCGGAGCGAGGCTTCTGCGGAGCAGCCCGAGGGACGGAGGGGCTCAGGGCGTCCGGGCCCAGGTTCGGGGCCATCTGCGCTGGGGACTCATGGCTACTTCTGGCCAGGACCATATGAACCACGGGTGGCTGCCTGTGCATTGGGGGCCTTACCACCTGCTCCCCCTCAAATGCCTGTCCCTGCCTGTTCGGGCTTTGGTGTGGCTGCCCTCACCCTGTCCCCGTCCCTGAGCCGTGTGGCCACCTGGAGGCCGGACGGCAAAGGTGTGAGCTCAGACCTCAGGGCCTCCGCGTGGGCCAGTGACCTTGGCAACCTGTCAGCCCCAGGCTGCAATGCCGCTCTAAGGTGGGCCTGGGTGTGACGTCCCAGCAGAGTGCTGGCGTTGACAGAGGCTCAGATCATAGTCACTATAGTTCTGAGGGGGCATTCACAGGGACACAACTGCTATTCTTAACACCAGGCACTCTGCACCCTTAGAAGAAAAATGAAACTATTTCTGAACGTAAGATGAAAACCTATAAAGCAATTTCCAGACCTCGTTTACATGAATGTCAGGCCTTTAGCCCAGAACCGAGCCTGTGCTGCAGCAAACACAGCAGGTGGCGCTGGTGAGTTTCCTCGCCTCCCAGAGTACATGTGTGAGGAGCAGCTGGTACCAGGAGGGGAGGTTGGGGGTCTGAGGGTACTCACCCTGCGTGGTGAGAAGCACCCTCTCGGCGTTGTTGGGCAGGCCCAGCCAGGATGGTGTCTGGGTGTCGGGGAGCAGCTCCACCCACTGCACAAACTCCTCTCGCCTGTAAAAGAGCACATTTGGAAATGCTGTCCTGCACGACGCCGGAGGCTGCCCGGTGGGCCGTCCGTGGTGGTACGGGAGGCAGGCTCGTACCTGATGCCATCTGGCATTTGAATGTCTTTGTGCCCGTCGACCTTGCAGGCCAG